GGGCCCGTTTCCGGGCCACCTGGTGGACGTCAGCGGCGCGGGGACCCTGTCCCACAGCTACCAGTACGAGGTGTGTCTGGGGAGTATCTGGGACCAGGGAATTTAATTTTTGAAGTTTGTTGTCTCCACCCAACAGAAGGCTGTGAAGGATATGGAGGAAAACACAAATTTGTGAATAGTTTTGGATTCAATTATGAATTTCGGTTAAGGAATTTGGGTTCTTTCGAAATATGATAGGTCTCCGTTACTGTTTTGGTCCGTATAGAATTTCTTGGGTGATTTGCTGATTCCATATTCCTATTAAGGGGATTTGAAATATTCTTTTTGAGTATATACTCATATTTACTCTTTATATCATTTCTATTTTGATAGACAAAGAATTTTCAACTTTATTGCCTTACCGAAACGTCATGAATATGTGTTGAATTTATCAACTTTTCATTATCAAGCAGTGTTGATTTGAAGATGACCCCAGCCCCATCCTCTCTTTATTATATGGAAACTCTAAAATTTTTTTTATATTGTGGTTACTTAGAAAGCATTATGGTATTAATATAATGAAGTATCAGTATAGTTTCTGTTTAATCTGATATTAAGCCTACTTGTCTTAAAATTTTTTTAAAATTTTTTATTTATTTGACAGAGATCACAAGTAGGTAGAGAGGCAGGTAGAGAGAGAGAGGAAGGGAAGCAGACTCCCCGCTGAGCAGAGAGCCTGATGCAGGGCCCAGATCCCAGGACCCTAAGATCATGACCTGAGCTGAAGGCAGAGGCTTTAACCCACTAAGCCACCCAGGCGCCCCATTGTCTTAAATTTTTAAATGGAGAAATGTCTGCAAAAATTGCATGTTTTTGTTTCACGATAAGTAGTATTACATAGAAAGGCTACAATTTCTCCCATACTTAAGTGCTTTACCTCTATATCAACCTTCAGTATATCAGCTATACGAATAATATCAAAAGATTATTAGATTATATCAAGATATTTAGGGGCACCTGGGTGGCTCAGTGGGTTAAAACCTCTGCCTTCGGCTCGGGTCATGATCCCAGGGTCCTGGAATCGAGCTCCACTCGACGGGGGGAGCCTGCTTCCCCCTCTCTCTCTCTGCCTACTGTGATCTCTGTCAAATAAATAAAATCTTTTTAAAAAAGATATTTAAATGATAGATCTCTTGTGGTATCTGTCTAGCCCACCCCATCATTTTCAGGAAACTTCTCTCCAGTAGAAGTGTATGGTTGCAGCCATGTTTATTTTATTTGATCCACTTCCCTCTGAGTCTTCAGACAATCAGACAAGGTGGTGTTGCTAATCCAAGCTTTGTAAATCTTGTTTGTTTAAAAACAACGAAGCAAACCCAAAGAAAGCAAATCTAAAATAGTTTCTGTTAGGAGCTTAACAAGAAAATGATATCATGTTGGCTAAATAAATAGAAAGAAAAAAACCAGAAGGTCAATGCATTTACAGAGAAGAAGAAAGGAGATGCCTAAAAGGTAACATTATGGATTTTCCAGTCCCTCCCAAGTCTGCTTTCTCCCTTGGCTTTTTGGAAACAAGTATGTGCACTTTTAAGAAATGTCCCTTTAATGATGATATCTATGTGGATTTCTCCCTTGTCAAAAGCATATCTAGATTCTTGCATGGCTTAAAATTTACTCTTCATTGGAGATTTTTAAATTGTTTTTATATTAATATAATAATATTTGGGATCAAAAGTTTGTGGAATAATGAAAAAAAAGTTTGTGGAATATTAGTAGTCTGTAAAGGACAAGCACAAACTCTGGTTAACATATATGATTTTGAGAAGAACTGATGGCTATCTTAAAATTTTAGTGTTTGGTGTGTCTTATGGAAATTCTTTGAAAATTCTCATATGTAAGAAAGTTTTAAATATTATTATTGTCATAATAATACTGACAATGTAAAATGTGTTTTAAAAGAGATGTATACCATATTTGTAGGATCTTTATAGCATGGTAGTTACGTTCTGGTTTTTTGTTTGTTTTTTAGAATCTATTCCATTACATAGAGGATGCCAGAGAATTTTGACATTTAATGAAAAACATTTAGATCATTCTGAAGTACTGCAAATTACTTTTCTAAAGAGCATATAAAATGGCTACTAGGGAACATGGTGTTTTGTTTGTCCAGCTCATATAATGTACTAGGATTCCAGCAGAAAAAAAGGGGGCTTCTATGTTAGGAGGAGAGTCCATCTATCAAAATTTTTAAATTGTGATTTATTGATTGACCTATTGAATATTGGTTGAGCATCTACCATGTGCTATGGACTGTTCTAGATGTTGGGAGATGTAGATATGAACAAAGCAAAGATATCAAGCACAAGAAAGTCACAGAAAAGAAAAAATTAAATATGTACATCTATGCTATATCAGATAAATGTGAAGGAGGAAAAGCCAGGTAAGAGATATAGTAAGTGTCCTCATATGCATTTTCCCATAGTTTGAAAGTTTTTAAATCATAGTTCTCTGACCTTATGTCAAAATGGTATCATCTCCTGTAATAAACTGAATTAACTTTTTTTTAATGTGATTCAACCAATGGGAACAACTATTCTGTCACATACACTACCTAGAATATGGAAGAAAATCTAGAGGAATTCATCCTCTTTGCTGAGAGAATTTTAAGAAATCACATAGGTATATACTGTTATTTTCACATGATTTATCACTGTTTTCTTCTTTGACTTCTCTATTTTCCTAGCACCTCAGGCCAACTACAGGTTGGAAAAAGTAGGGACCATGTTTAGGTTGTTCATTGATCTATCAGAAGTTAGTACATAGAAAGCTAATAATACTTCTTTGAATGAAGGAATGAGTAATTATAATTATATGGTTTTCCGATTACACTGCCTCCTTCAAATCATTTCCAAACTCCTAATAGCATACTGGATTATCAGAGAATACAATTGTAGCGATTCCTCTGGAAGACAACACATGGTGGCGCTGCAAGCTAAGGTTTAAAACTTAAAAAAAAAAAAAAAAAGAAGAAGAAGAAGAACAGGAACAGCTACAAACCTGACTTCCGATCTATAACTGAAGACAAAGCCTGTACGCAGAGTTCAGGACCAGTACGTCATGCTACTCACCAACATTTCCGGACAGGTTATCAACTGAGAGATCCATCACTGTCCCTAAGGTAGAGCTGGGCCCTGTTTCTGGACAGGTGTTTGTGGAAGTAAAAATGGAGGCCGGAGGGGAGTGCTTTCCTAAACAAAGGCAAGTCCTGATTCTCTTTCTCGTGTTGGGAGTAGCTTTGGCAGGCTGGGAATCTCGTCGCTATTCCGTGATGGAGGAAACCGAGAGTGGCTCCTTTGTGGCCAATCTGGCCAAGGACTTGGGGCTGGGAGTGGGGGAGCTAGCAGCACGGGGAGCCCGGGTAGTCTCCGAGGATAACAAACCCCGCTTGCAGCTTGATCTGCAGACCGGGGAGTTGGTATTAAACGAGAAACTGGATCGGGAGGAGATGTGTGGCCCCGCAGATCCTTGTGTAATGCATTTCCAAGTGTTGCTGAAAAAACCACTGGGAGTATTTCGAGCTGAGCTACTGGTGAGAGACATAAATGATCATTCTCCAGAGTTTCCTGAAAGAGAAATGACTCTGAAAATCCTGGAGACTAGCCCTCTGGGGACCATGTTTCCTCTGAAAAAAGCCCAGGACTTGGACGTGGGCAACAACAACATCCAAAGTTATAGTATCAGTCAGAACTCTCATTTCCATGTTTCTACCCGCACCCGGGGGGATGGTAGGAAATACCCAGAACTGGTACTAGACAAAGAGCTGGATCGTGAGGAGCAGGCTGAGCTCCGATTAACCCTCACAGCACTGGATGGCGGCTCTCCACCCCGGTCTGGCACTGCTCAGGTGCGCATCTTGGTACTGGATGTCAATGACAATGCCCCTGAGTTTGCAAAGATACTCTACCAGGTGCAGGTTCCAGAGAACAGCCCTGTAGGCATGCTAGTTGTCAAGGTCTCTGCTAGAGATTTAGACACTGGAACAAATGGGGAAATATCATACTCCTATTTTTATAGTTCCCAAGAGATAAGCACAACTTTTGAGCTAAACAGCCTTTCAGGAGAAGTTCGACTAATTAAAAAATTGGATTTTGAGATAATATCTTCATATGAGCTGGAAATAGAGGCGTCTGATGGTGGGGGGCTTTCTGGAAGGTGCTCTGTCTCCATTGAGGTGGTGGATGTTAACGATAACCTCCCAGAAATAACTATTTCATCACTCACCAGCCCCATTCCTGAAAATTCTCCTGAGACAGAGGTGGCCCTGTTTAGAATTCGAGACCGAGACACAGGGGACAACGGAAGGATGACTTGCTCTATCCAGGATGATCTCCCCTTCGTCCTGAAACCATCAGAAGAGAATTTCTATACCCTGGTAACAAATGGGGCCCTAGACAGGGAGAGCCAGGCCGAGTACAACATCACCATCACCGTCACCGACCTGGGGACCCCCAGGCTGAAA